CAGTAACAGAAATCCATCTACAAAATCATCCAATATTTAAAAGCTGAGTAGCAACACATTTCTAAACAACCTATAGGTCAAAGGAGAAACCAGAAAGGAAAGCAGAAAATGTTTCCCACTGAACGAAAATGCAGACACAATTCATCAAAGTCAACGGATGCAGCCCAAGTGGGCCCTGGAGGAGAAGTTCCCACTAATGCTTCTTGTAGAGAAGAAACAGAACTAAAACTTCCTTTAGAAGAGAAGGAAGTTCTCCAAAAAACCCACCTAAACTTTCACCCTCAAAAACTAAAACAAAAAGAGCAAATCGAACCCAAGGTAAGAAAAATAAAGAAAATAAAAAGTGAGGTAGAAAAAGAAAACAGAAAAATCAATGAGAGCGATGTTTGAGAATGCCCCTCCGGGAGGAAGACCCTCCCCAGTCCGGCTTGTCCATGGCGAGACCAGAAAGAGGCCCTCTTGCAAACCAAAGCTAGCTCTCTGTGTGATCTGGCTGCCCAGGCTGGGCGTTAAGGGAGGCTCCTGGGCCCTCCTGACCTGGCCAAATCGTGCTCCTTCCTTTCTGGTGGAAGCTGAGGCCTGACTGGACGATGAGGAGAGCAGGTGGAGCTCTTGTCAGAGGACTCGGTCAGTCGCTTCTGCACAGTCTCCCTGAGAGCTGCCCTCTGTCTGGACACTGTGCTTTGACGGTCTTTAGCATTTCCACTTTTAAGACATAGAGAAAATTGCATCCTGGTGATGGCCCGGGAGAGTCAGCCCTGCATGCCCGGACAGGGTCAGTGCCCCACCGCCGTGCGCTGGCTGAGCCTCAGTGGCTGTGCCTTGGGGCCCCACCCCTCAGTCCTGTGCCCAGGACATCTCCCTGTGGGTCCTGGGCTTGGGCTCTGGCAGAGGGAGCTGCTCCTTCAGGGGCTCTTGGGAGGAGGGGCTGGGGCTGTCGGTGCGCTCTGGCTGGCTGCACTGTCCACACCTGCAGAGTCGCAGGCCCTGTTTGGGGCTGTGGCCTGACAGGGTGGCTGGGGCTGGGACTGGGGTCAAGTTGTGTCCGGGACATTTGAGGAGCTGTCCAGCAGAGTCGCAGAGAAGCAGCCTGGGGGTCGGGAGACTCAGCTAGGGACAGAGTCTGGAGGCGCAGGGCAGAGGGCGGTGAAGGGCCGGGAGCTGTGACTGTCCTTGGCCTTTGTCTGGAGTCCTGCACCCCCAGTCCCATGGCAGCCACATGGGCAGCCTGGCCCTCTCTGGATCCTGCGGGTTGGCTCCCACTTCTGGGCCTCTGCCCAGGGCCCACACACACCCTTGCCCATTGTAGTGGGGAGATCCCATAAGCTCCGAGGCAGAGCAGAAGGCCTCAACTTTTTTCCATATACGTAATGAAGAAGAAAGTAATTAAAAATGCAAACGTAGTAGTTATTAATTACATAGGTGATCTTAGTTATTCACAGGTGATCTTAATTCCTTTACTAATGCCTCTCAGGTCGGAACTGTGAACCTGGGGTGACATTGTGAATGAATGACCCTGAGGCACGCTGCTCTAAGCCCCCTGTCACGCCCGCATACGGGCTGCTGGAGGGCGCCTCGGCTGTGCGGCAGCGCCAGCGCTGGGAAAGCCCCGCTGTGTAGCCAGCTAGGGGAGGAGACGTCCAAGGTGGCCGAGACGTCCCCTTCCTGGGGCGGTTAGGAGGAAACTCCGCTTCTCCACGCTCTGTGGTAGGCCTGACGGCTGTCAGGAAGCCCGCAGACCTCCGGGGCTCAACTGTCTCTGTGTGGCGCCGGCTTCAGCGGTCACGTTCCAGGTCCGCCCTCACGCTCTGCTTCTGCACCTGGCTCTGTTCTGCTGTGTTCCTTTTGTCTTAGGAAAGACAACTCAGTAGTGGTAACATAAATCCTCATGTTTCAGTTCTTTCTTGATAAGTCTGGAAAAGGTGCTGCTTATGCTCCTTGCCTCCCTTCGGGTGCCAGAAATTCCTGAGCCCCCACCTGAATGACACGTGATGTACTTGACCCTATCACTGCCACGCCCTGTCCACCCTGCCCCCAGTCTCCGACCACCAAGGCCACTCCCTACCTACCCTGACCCCAGATTTGCAGCTCAATAAAAGTGAGAGTGTCCCGTCAGGCATTCTGGGCCGCTGCTGGTCTCCACGATCTGGGTAGCAGTGGACCCCTGGCCCAAACTCTCTATTCTCTATCTCTGTGTCTTGCGTCTTTTATTTCTACAATTTCTCGTCTCTGCAGCTGCCGGGAGGGGCTCACAGACCCTGTAGGGCTGGACCCTGCAGCCCATGCTGCCTCTGCTGTCCCTGTACCGGCCGCTGCTCTGTGAAGGCTACCCTGACCCACAGCAGAACTCCCTCCCTCCATCCTGGAGTTTGTGGCCACAGCCCCGGCTTCCTGACTTTCCGGGATGGGAGTGGTGAGGGAGGTGGCATTCCCTCCTGCCTCCAGGCTGCCCTGGGCACAGAGCCTCCCTTAATGCCCAGCCTGGGCAGCCAGATTTCACGAGGGCAGCCCTGGCCACCCTGTTCCTGAAGCGGCTGGCCCTGGCCCTGGTGAGGATTCCTGTGGTCAGCCTGCCTGGAGGGGGGCAGGAGTCGCTTTCCCTCGCCCAGCCTTGGTTTCCCCACACAGAAGGGACGGGTGATCTGCAGCCTGGGCGCTCCCCCTCCTCTGCTGTCTGCCCGACTCCCATGCCCAGGTCCCTTCACGCCCTGCCCTGGGCACTCGTGGGCCTCCAGGCACCTGTCCGGAGTGGAGTGGAAAAGGGCACAGATGGGGCCCTGAGCAGCCCTGGCCTGGGCGAGGGAGGATTTTCCCTGTGCCCAAGCCCCAGCGCCCGGCTCTCCAGTGGCCACCAGGGGAGGCTCCGACGCAGTCCTCACCCGAGGACTGTGTGCCCTCCGGCAGCGCTCAGGGGAGAAGGGGCTCCTTCACCCCGGGTCATGCTCCTGAGACTGGGGTTCAAGAGCCTCCAGAGAAGCTGGCTTCGCACACCCCAGGCCCAGCCCCAGCTTCGGAGCCATGTGGGCACTGACTACCCACAGCCACCACCCAGGGCAAGTTCAGTTGCTGGGCGGACCCCATCCCTGGGAACCCAGCAGCCCCCTTGGCCAGACCTCACCAGGGTGCAGTAGACTGGGTGGGGACCATGACTCAGGGAGTGTGGGCCAGGCGGGGTCGCCCAGAGGCAAGGAGGGTTCCGAGCCCGCTGCATGGGTTCTGGCTGTATTTCCAGTACAAGGCTGTGGCGTGGAGTGAGATGACTCCCCCAGCAGACTCCCCAACAAGGAGCCCTTTCCCTCCTGGAGAAGGCCAGAGGCTCCCGAAGGCTGGCCCCGAGTCCCCGGCAGCATAAGTCTCAGGCCTCTGGTCAGAGCAGAGCTCCGCCTTCCGCCCACCAGTCCCCTCGCAGGCCTGGCCTGGGACACCCATGGTGGCCAAGTCCCCTCTGGCCCTGGCTGGCCGACCGTGTTGTGGGTGGCGGCCGGTGAGGGGTCAGCGGTGCTCCCTGGCCCAGGGTCCAGGCACTCAGCTCTTTGCCCCTGGCACTGTGAGGCCAGCACCATCACCACCCCCAGTTCCAGCCGAGGGCAGGAGCACTAGATGGGTCTGGGCCCCGGGTGCGCACAAGGGGAAATGGGAGGTGCCTGCAGCCCTGCGGAGGCCGGGAGGAGGGTGAGGCTTTGCGGGAGGCCAGGGCCACCATTGACAGCCACGGGCAGCAGATGGGGTGCTGACGGCCTCAGGTGGGTGCCCAGTGGAGGAAGATGGAGGCCCCGGGGGGCGGAGTGCTTTGCCTGGGGTCTCTTAGTCAGGGCAAGAAGTGACCCACCTCGGCCACCCTGGGGAAGAAGGAACTGGGTGTGGAGAAAGGGGATCCCAAGTGGGGAGAGTGACGCTCACCCAGACCCAGGCCTGGGTCACAGTGCCCTGGCTGGGCACTGGTCAGGCAGCCCTCCACAGTGGGGTTGCACAGTGTCCCTGGGTCCCAGGGGATGCAGGGTGGACACATGTTAAGAGCTGGCCTCCCCACGTCACCCTCCACCTCCAACAACCATCCAGCACCCTGCTCGCCCCCAGGCCCTCAGCTGGAACTGGGGGTGGTGATGGTGCTGGCCTCACGGTGCCGGGGCAAAGAGCTGAGTGCCTGGACCCGGGGCCAGGGAGCACCGCTGACCCCTCACCGGCCGCCACCCACGTCACGGTCGGCCAGCCAGGGCCAGAAGGGACTTGGCCACCATGGGTGTCCCAGGCCAGGCCTGCAAGGGGACTGGTCTGGGGAAGGCAGAGCTCTGCTCTGACCAGAGTGAGGCCTGAGACTTATCCTGCCGGGGACTCGGGGCCAGCCTTCGGGAGCCTCTGGCCTTCTCCAGGAGGGAAAGGGCTCCTTGCTGGGGCGTCTGCTTGGGGAGTCATCTCACTCCACGCCACAGCCTTGTACTGGAAATACAGCCAGAACCCATGCAGCGGGCTCGGAACCCTCCCTGCCTCTGGGCGACCCCGCCTGGCCCACACTCCCTGAGTCATGGTCCCCACCCAGTCTACTGCACCCTGGTGAGGTCTGGCCAAGGGGGCTGCTGGGTTCCCAGGATTGGGGTCCATGGGACTTTTCCTGGGCTGTGGCTGTGGGACATGGCTCCGAGGCTGGGGTTGGGCCTAGGGTGCCCCAAGCCGGCCTCTCCGGAGGCTCTTGAACCCTGGTGTTGGGGCATGGCCCAGGGTGAAGGTGTGAGGGGCGCCTTCGCCCTTAGGTGGTTCGTGCCGGAGAGGCCTGCAAACCTCTGCCCTGTGCTCCTATGCAGGCCTCGCCCCAGGGTGCCCTCCTCCTCTGTGACCGTGGGAGGCATCTGAGCAGCCTGTCCCTCCCCGGATGGTGCCATTTCGGGCATGGCTGCATGATTGGCCCCAGGGCACATGTGCTGGAGGCTCAGGGCACCTGTGTGGCCTGATACCCGTCCCCAGCCTCCTCTGTCCCAGAATAGCACACACACAAACACACCGGTTTAAATCCTTTATGTCCATGCAGAGATTTGAGTAGAAAAATAAATGGCCAAAAAACCGTTTGAAATGTGGCGGTCGGGGGGTGAGGGGAGGCTCCCATCCCCCACCCTCCATGCGGCAGGAGCTGCATTCTCTGCGGGGTCTGCGGGGCCTGCTCCGAGTCATCAGGACTCCATGCCCCCCTGGACCTGGCCCCAGATTTTCGGGGAAGCCCCCAGCCTGGGGCTCCTGGCACCCGCATTGCGGCTGGGGAAGGGAGCCGTGGAATCCCCGGAGAAAGGGAAGGACAGGCAGGGGGGCCCTCCTTGGGGGGAGGTCACAGGCGGGGGGCTAAGAGGAGGGCCGGGAGGCCCAGGGCCAGCCCCAGGCTGAGGGCGGCGCGGGGGGCGGCGCTGCGCAGCTGTGCATTGCACAGATCCTCCTGGCAGCACTGGGTGGAGCCGGCGCCGCCGCTGACCTGGACTTGCTGGGCGTGGGTGGGCACACAGGAGTCCACACAGTTCTTGTTCACCAGGTTCCCGCTCAGAGGCTCCACTGGGCACAGGTGAACCTTGTCAGGCCTGTCGGCTGGCTCTGCCCCCCACCCCCTGCCCACCTCCCTGCTGGCACCCACATCAGCCCCCCACCCCCGGGGCGCCCGGACAGAGGCTGCTCACCCGTGATCATGGTCGTGCAATATCGAGCACTGGCCGGGCACTCCTTGGGCTCCTTGCAGTTGCTGGAGCTTCTGCACACATGGCAGCGGAGGGCAAGGGCTGTCGGGGGCGGGGCGGGGGACGGCGGAGCACAGGACTCAGTGAGGCCCGCTCCACCACCCGCGGAGACCCCTCCAGGACGGAGGCCTCCACCCTCCACGCTGCCCTTGCCCTGGGCCCCCACTCCCCGCCCTGGGCCCTGTCGGGGCGGGTGCCCTGGATGCAGCCTCAGGGGACCTGTGCTCAGGCTGGGCTGGCTGGGAAGAGGTGTCCTGCCCTGGCCCTGTCTAGGGTGTGCTGCCGGCCTTTCCTCCACGGCCTCAGGCTCTGTGACTGTGCCGAGAGCAGCCTGCAGGACCCTGGCTGCTGTCCCCCACCCCAGGGGCTGTCCCCAGAGTAGACGGCCGTGTTTCCGAGGGCCTGACTGAGCCAGGGCCTGCCAGCTTGGCTGCTCTGAGCCCATCAGAAGGGCTCGGCGGTCTTTGGGCTATCCTAGGCTGTGCTGGGGGAGACCGGGGGACCGCGTGGGGCTGGTGGCCACCCTCCCAATTAGAAGCATCTCAAGACACCCCCCTGCTCCGCTGACTCAGGGTCCGTGACTCCAGGAGTCGATTCTAAGATCCTCAGATTCTGAAACATTGTACACGGGGGTCTCCAATAAGTTGAGATGCGGGCTCCCTGCTGCTTCAAAGGTGAAGAGTTTGGCACACACAGTGCGGGATTCTCTGTGCCTAGAGGTCGTCAGCTCCGGCCTCCTAGTATTTGGTGACCGTACAGGCCAGAGCTGCCCGCCCACCCCTCCCCTTGGCTCAGCCCCTCACCTGGCCCCACAGCCACAGCCAGGGTGGCAACGAGCAGCAGGACCGTCCTCATGGCGGGCGCCGTCGGGGAGCAGTGTGGGTCTCTGCATGGCAGGGACCTTATAGGCACGGGCTGGGCGGGGGTGGGCAGCCTGCCAGCCGGCGGGATCCGCAGGGCCCTGTGCAAGCATCAGCCCAGGACTGGCACCCGCCCCACCCTGCCTGGCCCACGCCCACCAGCCTGGCTGTCGCTGGGCGCTGGGCCTGCTGCCTCCCCTGGCAGGGGTCTGCCCCCACAGCAGGCCCCATGTTTCCTTTCTGGCCCTGCTGTTCCTGCTTGGCCCAGCCCCCTCTGCCGCTCGCCTGTGCTGGGCAGCACCCAGCTGTGGTGTGGAGGGACCCACAGAGGTTTGCCTTGCCCCTGCCCTGGCCAGGCTGATGGTGAGTGGGAGCAGGAGATGGAAGTCAGCCCGAGGCCCAGCCTCGCCACTGCTGCCACATGGCTGATGAACAGGGACCAACAGGGCCAGGCCAGGGCAGGGCCTGCTGCAGGGAGGGTGGTCCTGGGCTGGGCTGAGACTCAGGCTCGGGGAGCACCATGGGTCCTGGGGCCAGTCAGGCCTGGGCTAGAGACCGACCCCAGGGCCCTTCCTCCCCCATCTCTGCCCTGCTGAGCCCCGCATCGCGGATGCTGCAGATCCCCACAGGTGTCTCCTGAGAATGCTCCTGGCCGGGCTCTCCCTGACAGTCCCGGGACCTGGAAGACCTGCCCACTGGAGGGGCTGTCGGGTGGTGCCTTTGGAAACCAGGAGGGGTGCAGGCAGGAGCCCCTGGGGCAGCCCCACATTTGCATCTGGTGCCTGGCTGCTGGCTGGTGCCAGGCTTCCTCAAGTGAAGTTTCACTTGCCAAGGCAGGTGACCCAGAGGTCTATGCCTCACCCAGAGAGAGGACATCTCTTCCAGCTCCAAGTCCCTGTATCCGTGGGGTGCAGTGAGAGGCATGGGTGGCTTGGGGGAAGGTGCTTCCAGGGGCCTTGGGAAGCAGAGCTCAGGGCTTGGTGACAGGGTGGTGACTCGGTGGGCATGGCAGGTGGGGAGGGTGACTCACTGTGGCCAGGGGCGTGACAGCTGCTGGGAGAACAGGTTTGGGATCCCTGTTGGGCCTGGTGGCGCTGGAGGGCCCAGGATGTCAGGTGGCCTGAGAGTGGGGTCTGAGTGTGGGACACGGGGGAGTGGGCTCCCACACCTGGGGCTGGAGGAGGAGAGCCCTGCATGTCTAGCTCAGCCCGGTGGGACGCCTCAGGTGTCACCGTGGCTGCGTCCCTGCTAGGCATGGAAGTCACAACAGGTTTCAGTTCTGGGGGAGGAAGGCCTCCTCCCCGGCCGGGCTACTCACGAGGATGAGCTGCCCATGCCAGGTGGTCCTAGCAAAAGCATGAACAGCAGCCCCACGCACGGTTCACCCTCAGGAGGCATGAGCAGCGGCCCCACGCATGATTCACCGTCAGGAAGCATGAACAGCGGCCCCACGCACAGTTCACTTTCAGGAGAAAGTAGGTGATTCTGATGCCAGGAGCCCTTGGACAGCTGGGAGCTTATGGGGACAGTGCAGTCAGGGAGGGCTTCTTGTAGGCAGTGACCTGACTAGAGCCTTAGAGCCAGGGGTTGGAATGGGGAGAGGAGCTGTTGTGGTCCCTCATGCCAGTCCTCGCCCAGTGCTTGTTTGCTGGTGAAGAAATGAAGGTCAGAGAGTGCCAGGCAGGTACGGGCATGCCCCTGAGTGGGGCAGAACCTGGTGGGGTCTCAGGCACTTCTCACCCTCACTGCTGGCCCTTCCCCTCCCCCCTCTTCTGTCCTCTAGCACCTGGGACCTCTCCCCACTCCGCCCCTCCCACTCACCCCTTGGAGCCGGGGCCCTGGGCCTGGTGGCTGGTACCATCAGGCTGTTGGCAGCAGGGACGACACCTGAGGTTGGTGATGAAGGAGCCTGGGGCAGGGAAAACCACCGCCCCGCCCCCTCAGCCCTGCCGGCTGCACCCTGAACCCAGAAGCCTGGCCCGGGAGCAGGCCCGGTGTGGGGACGAGCCCAGGCCTCTCTCTGGAGCAGAAGTTCCTTGCCCACGACCCTTCCCCCAGCTTCTGCCCCCTCTACCTCGGGCTGGGCTCCGAGGATCACGCAAGGGTGTGGCGGCCCAGAGAGGGAAGCGCCTGGCTCAGGCCTCTCAGCCCGCTACTCCAGGCTTCCAGGAGAGCAGCCCCGGGCCACGTCCTGGCTGAGTGGGTACCCCGTAGACAAGGCAGGGCCCTGGGCTGGAGGAGCTGGGAAGCACCAGGGCACAGGGAGGGGCTTCTTCAGCCTCAGGCTGTCACCTGGGCAAGCAGGAGTCCCAGCCACACCCCAGGGGCTCCAAAATGCATCCCTCTGCCTTGAGGCACTTCATTCATTCATTCATTCATTCATCCATTCATTCATTCATCCATTCAGCAACTTTTTATAAGGACCAGCCATGTGCAAGGCACTTTGGGTGTAATGGAGACCAAGAGAGGAGAGGGACGGGGCCAGCTCACAGGCCCCCAGACCAGTGGGGAGTGGGAACAGACCCTTGCTGGCTCTGTGGGACCCCCAGCAGGGTGTGACGAGGTGGAGGCTGAGAGTCTGGGGCTGAGAGGCCGAGGGAGGACTGACCTGGGCACGGCTGTCAGAGCAGGGACCTGAAGGGTGTGTGACCATCCTCTGGTGAGCAGATGGGTGTTGGGCAAGAGCTTGGGGGCCCAGGTGCCAGGCCCCTTCTCTGCCTCTTTCCCCGGGATGGGGGCAGGTGGCTGCGTGGTGTGGTGTCTTTCTAGAGGCTTCCCTGCTCCTCTCAGCCACTCACTTGCACAGATGGAGCCTCGGACAGCAAGGGCCCAGCCTTGCCCAGCATCACCCTGCGAGCAGGAGCCACAGCTGAGCCGGGCCTCTGGGTCTGGGCCCTTCACCATCACACCCACGCCTCCCCAGCCCTCCCCCAGGGCCGGAGTCACCTTTACACAGTCCCAGTCACGGCCCCTTCCACCTGCTTCCCAGGCCACGCCTGTCTTAGGTCAGCCCCTGGGACCCTGGCTACCAGCCACCCCTCCAGTGTACAGCTAGTGTCCATGGACCAGGCCACAGGCCAGGGCTGGAGTCTGGCTCTGCCCCTCCACACAGGCCCCTCATCCTTGCTGGGCCTCTCTTTCCTGCACGGCCAGGATGGCAATCCAGGGAGCAGTTTTGTGCCTGGAGAAACCCTTCCCTGCCTTGGGGCACAGCCTGTTCCCAGCAAGGGCTGCACTGGGGCCGTGGTTCCTAAGGCCCAGAGAAACAAGTCTGTTCTCAGGCGTGGCTAGTGGTGCCCACGGCTGGTGGTGCCCATGGGCAGGGCTGGTGCCTTCCCTGAGAGAGATGACATGTCAGCACCTAGGACCAGCAGGGTCCCTGCAAGGCACTGGCATTCATGGGGCTAGGCAAGGGTGCCCAGTGCTGAAGTCTGGGTGATGACAGAGAATCCCTCAGGGTGTGAACTGTGTCAGGCCTGAGGTGGGGGAGAGAGCTTGCAGAGGGCTGCAGCCATGGAGCCACGGAGCCACGGAGCCACGGAGCCACGGAGCCACGGAGCCACGGAGCCACGGAGCCACGGAGCCACAGCACAAACAGTCGCGGGGACCTCAGAGCCCCAAGACTGCATGCCCTTAGCTGGGCACAGAACACAGAACCCTAGAATTGCAAGACCCAAGGAACCTGGGTAAGAATCAGGTGTCCCGGACGGGGGTTATTTTCACACAGTAGGACATGCTTCCACCAGGGTTCTAGGGAAGGACAGAGAGTTTGTGTTAATGCCCAGCTTCCGGGGTCTCCCTCTGCTGGACCACAGCTCAGTCACCTTCCCGTTGTGGCCTGGAGCTTGTGGCTGCCAACCCTTAGCTCCATGAGGTAGGTTCAAGGCTGGTGAACACAGGGCCCACCTCACTTTCCTCCCTCACTCCCCTGCCTTCATTTGCTCCCAATACCTACCTGTTCATCCATCTTCTATCATCCACCCATCCATCCATCCATCCTCCATCCATCTGTCCACTCATCCGCCACTCATTTGTCGTTCTCTATCCTCTATTCATCCCTCATCCATCAATCAACCATCTGCCCATCCATCCATTCACGTATCCATCCTTCATCCATCCGTCCGTCTATCTACTCATCCGTCCATCCTCCATCCATCAGTCTACCATTTGTCCACCCATCCATCCACTCATCTATCCACCCTTCATCCATCCATCCACCTCCCGTCCATCCGTCCTCCATCCACTCATCCTCAATCCTTCATGCATTCATCCTCCATTCATCCACATCATCCTCCATTTTCTATCTACTCATCCATCATCCATCCACTCATCCATCCATCATCCATCCACTCATCCATCCATCATCCAGCCAGCCATCATTCACCATTGATCCATCCACCACGCATTCATTCTCCATCCATCCATTCACCCACTCCTCCCTCCATGCTCCATCCATCCATTCACCCACTCCTCCCTCCATGCTCCATCCATCCATTCATCCATTCATTCATCCTCCATCCATCCATCCTGCCCCCTCTGGACAAGTGGGTCAGACCTTTGACCACCTAGGGAGACACGGGATGAATTTAGTGCTGATGGCACAATGTGTCATAGGAAAATCCCGAGATATTGAGCTTGTCCTTCCAGAGGGTCTCCTGGTAGGTGGGCCACTTCACACCTGCTCTCCTGTCCTCAGGACAGGCATTCTTCTTACTCTGCCTGTGGTCCCCCTTTGCCCCGAGGGAGTTCCTCTCCCACCAAGGGACTCTCCAGCATGAGTCAGTGCAGACCTACTCCCTCGAGGGAAGTCCTAGCAGGACCTCGACTGGCCTGCAGCGCTTCTTGGGCAATGTCCCCAGCTCAATGTTCTCAGCAGTGAGCACTGCCCTTACACCACTAACGTGTCCTCAAGGAGTTAGTTACAATGCCATCTCTCGGCCTGTCGCCCCGCTCTTCCTTTCCTATTCACCCACATCTGCGCCTGACAAACAGTGATTCTCACAGGCCGAGGAGTCCACCCTGGCAAGGGTTCCGAGGCCTTCAGGTCTGCAGTAGGTCAGTGGCAGCTCTAGGGATGGCAACACCCAGCCTGTAGACACATGTTTTTACAGATTAGAGGATCACTTGGGAGCCAGAGGTGACTTTGGGGGACATCATTGATCCGAGATATCATTGCTCCTGGCCCTAAGCAGGAAAGAAGTGTCTTCCATGACTGCACGCCCTGTTGTTGGTCTGCCACTGGCACCGGCACCTCCACAGGGCGCGTGAGCTGTCCACACATGACCTGGGTGGAGGAGGCTTGTCTCTGCTCATCCTGGGATCAGGTGGCAGCTGAGCTTTGAGGCTGGAATGGCTAGCATGGCTGCTCCCTGCTCAGCCCGGAGGCCCTGAGGGCCCCACGTGGATGCTGGGTCCTGGGCAGGGGCCTGGGGCAGGCTGTCCCTGCAGGAGATGCACGTGTTCCTGCAGTCCTCACTGGGTACCAGGACAGGCCTCCCAGGGAGGGAGGGGAGGCCCATGCCAGGGAACTCACTGGGATCCTAGGGGCTTAAGGGCCCAAGAGGGTGTTATGTAAGAAGGGAAGTGGCAGGTCCTTGTGGAGCAGGACATGCTGGCTGGAAGGAACATGGAGGCCCAGACACCCCGGAGCCCATGCCGCTGTGCCCAGAGCAGCCCGCACTCCTTACCCTGCACTTGGGTTGGGTGCAGTCCCTCCCCTGGTGACTCCTTGGTGCTCCCGGCACGCTCGGCCTCCCCGTCCTGCTCCTGGGCCCTGACCGGGCTGGCTGTGTGCTCTGCCCATCCCAGGGGCACCCGTTTCCCTCCCTGTGTCCCTGGGTCTCCTCTTGGCCATCGAGCCCTTTCCTACCCCCAAGCCTCTGCATGTTGCCCCCATTGTCGGAGACCCGGGTGCTTTCCAGAGCGTCCCAGCCCCACCCTTGAGCCTCCCAGCTTCCTCTCGCCTCAGCCAGGTGCTGTGGCCCATGTGAGCTCGTCACTTTGCCTGCTGTGCCCAGTCTCACCTGCCTCAAGGGCAGGGATGGTCTCTCACGGTGGCATCTGAGAACCTTGATCCCTGGTGTGGAGGAGGTGCCCTCCAGAGCTGGCGACTGAACGGTGGGGGAGCAGGAGCGCCCAGGCGTCCCGCTGAGCACTTGCCAACCCAGGAGTGGGGCTGGGGGCCCACAGCCCCCAGTGCCCCGGCTCTTCCCCTGTGGCGAGGGGCTATGGACAGTTTTGCACGGGAACAGCTCCTTGCCAGGCCCCGGCCCCTGCACACAGAAGCTCCTGCAGGCAGAGGCTGTGTTCTGTGTTCTGTGGGCTGTTGGGACATGCAAGGGTGGGGCCTGCCCTGAGGGGTGAGCCTGAGTCAGGCTTCCTGGGAAGGTTCCTCGGGCAGTAGTCTGGATTCCCACCTTCCTTGGGAAAACAAAACTCCAGCTTTGCTCTCGGGATGGCTGAGAGCACCTGACCCCGCCTGACCCTGGAGCCCAGCACCCGGGGCCCTGTGGGAGGCTGTGCCGGGGAGTCCCAGGGAATCCTGACAGCCTGGCTGCTGGGGGTTCGCTGGGCTCCCCTCAACACGCTCGGCCCTCCGTTGGCCTCCAGGCAGCTCAAGGTGCGATGATGGGGAGGAAGCCGGGTGAGGCGACAGGCGCTTCTCCGCGGACCCCGGCTCCCTGCTGCGGGGTGTCTGGGGCACTGCGCCCTCCAGCAGCGCTTCCCCAGCACCGGCTCAGGAGACCAGTAGCAGGTTGGGTGGGAGCCATCAGGGTGTTCGGGGCACTCAGGTGGGGCAGCGGCCCCAGGGGCTGAGAGGAAGCGCCGGGCAGGCCGAGGGCACTGCTGGGACCCTTCTCTCCGGAGCAAGAGTCCAGCGGCAGGAGGCAGCCCTGGGCCACGGCAGCTGGGGGAACATCCCGCCAAGCTCACTGCCTGGAGGCCTGGCAGGTGCGGAGAGTGGAGGCCAAGGGCCGCAGGGAGGCTGGGCATCAGGCCTGCACACCTGCCCGCTCAGATTCCCACAGCCGTCGGGGGAGGCTCCCAGCCGGTCGGATGGCTCCTGACTCAAGCACCTGGGCTGTGGCCGCCAGCTCTGCCAGGCAGGAGGCCTCCGCCACTGGGGAAGGGAGGCGAGGGATAAGGATGTCGGGGAAGGGAAAAGACATCTCCTCCTGGCTTCCGAGCTTGAAAGGGCAGAACAGCAGGACGAGGACTCCAGACCCGGAGCGAGGAGGCCCCTGGGCCAGGGAAGGGCCCCTCATGCCAAGGGAGCAGAGCAACCCTGAGACCACCGTGGGGTCCCGGACCCAGGGGGCTTCCTGAGGAAGGGCCCTGCATCTGTGCCCATAGCCACACGCTGGGCAGGGTGTGGCTCCGGCCTTGCCACCCTGGAATAGCCCTGGGAGGAGACGTGGCCTTGCGAGGCCCGTCCAGGGTGGCGGAAGAGTCTTGTGCCCCCACCGGAGACAGAGGACTGGGGGGTGTGAGGCGCCCTGCAGGGCTGAGGCCAAGCGCACAGGGTCCCGGCCTCTGGTGGGGCTGGGTGGACAAGGGACGCCGAGGCTCGGAAGGGCTCCCGAGACCGACTGCCCGTGTGTTTCTGCCTTGATGGTGGAGCAGGGCTCAGGGTGGACTCAGGACTCCCAGGTAACAAACCAGAAGCATTTCTCCCACACCTGGGCCTGAGCACCAAGAATTCTACCCTCCCCTCTGTAAAGCACCCCCCACCCACCTCTAATTGCTGGTGCCTTCCCTTTTCCCAGGCGCAGCTGGCTTCGGATGAGGAACATGGCCTGGACCAGGCACCTCTGAGAGTAAGAACGGACAGAATTGGCAGCTTTATTCTGGGGGGGCATTGCAGGGGTCCCTGCCTGGAGGGCCGGGATGAGCCCCCCACACCCAGTGAAAATGGACACCCCCAATTCTAGTGCCTGACACTGAACCCCAAGGTGACTCCCCACCCCCACAGTGGGCAGCCAGGGGACCATTTAAGAGGTCAGTGTTCACCTGGATGGGGCTGAGAAGGGTCCCCGGGGTGGAGACACTGACCAGCATACTGAGCCCCCAGTGAGAGTCCTGGAGACAGGTCCCTCCTCAGGGTACCTGCTGCAAGGGCGCCCCGGGCAGGTTTGTGATGGAGGGAGCGGGGGAGGGAAGGAGGGACGGGGGAGCTGGGCGGCTGGCCGGGAGGACAGAGTCGGAGGCACGCACGCCCAAAGCCCTGAGCCGTGTCCTTTCTTCTGGGGCCACTGTGGGCAGAAGAGGAGGCCGAGGGGTCTGACACGCGCGGCGCTCTGTCAGGCCAGGCGTGGGAGAGGAGAAATCCCCGGCTCCAGGCCCTCCGCCCCTGGCCTCTGAAACAGTGATAGACGGTGCTGGAGAGAACTGGGGGCTCTTCCCACTCGTGGCTGGCCAGGGTTCCCAGGACCCCAGCAAACGGCCGAGGGTCTCCTGCAGGTGTGGGTCTTGCAGCGGGCATCTCCTCTGGGGCACCCACCAGCGACTCCCTGAGGCAGGGGCGGAGCTCCCTCAATGGGGCTGGAGCCCTCGGGGGTGAGACCCTTTATCTCTCCCCAGGGCCAGGGAGGGGCTCGGTGTGGCCTGGGCAAGGGAGGGAGGGGCGTGGCCGCGGAGACGGGACCCTGCTGCCTCGGGTGGGGTGTGTGGGGGCTGGCAGGGCTGCGGGGGCCGTGCGGAGAACTCCAGGCCAGGGCCTCAGCAGGGCGCCCGGAGCAGGGCCCACAGCAGGCTGGCTGCGGTGCCTGCCCACAGGGCCCCGGGGCTGCCCCCCAGGCCTGAGGCTGCACTGCGGTTGCACTGGCTGCCCTGGCAGCAGGACACCGAGAGGGCGCGGCCGTCGGAGGACACGGTGCTGTTGGGGCACGTCGGGGCGCAGGACTTCATGACCAGGATGCCGCCGGGGCTGGCTGTGGAGAGAGGAGGAGCTCTGTGGGTGCCCTGCGTCCTGGGCCAGCTGCCCGGCCCCGGGGGGCCCGAAGCCTGGGACCCGTCGGCACCACGGGCACGGCCTGCACTGGGAGGCCCTGCGGAGGCCCCTGCCCGTGGGGCTTGGGGTGGCGGCCTGGGGGAGCGGGTTTCAGAGAGCCTCCTGCTGTGGGGGATGTCCTTCCTCTGGCCTAAGGGGACCTGTCTCCCCTCAGACCAGGCTCCTCCATGACATCTGGGGCAACTGGGTGGCTCCTCCCTCCCCAGTCTCATTCCAGAATTTCAGGGGGCCCAGGTCCCGCTCTGGTCCAAGTTGGGAAATGGTGGGGGATGAAGATGGGGCAGGCTGCTCAGCTGCGTGGGAAACCTCATGTCCCGCAGGGAAAGGGAGGCAGGGTCCTTGGGGGCCCTGGGGAGCGGGTGAGGGGGAGTGGGCTCTCGGCCTCAAGCAGCACAGCTGTTGGTGTGAGACTCCGTGGCTTCTGTACCCCCTCTGTGGGGACCACTTAGAGCCCAGCAGCCTTGAGGAAAGGGGCGATGCTCCCCGAACCCGCACTACTCAGAACATTCTGGAAGCGTGACCCTGACCCAACAGGCCTCTTGCTGAAAGCTGGGCCAGAAACAGTGCAGCGGGGACGGAGGCTGGCTGGGTCTGTGTCTCCGCTTCATCTGCCGTGGTTATGGGTTAGAGGAATGAATTCCCGACTAGCGTTGAGAGCAGTGGGGCTGCCCGGCCAGTGCCAAGCGCACAGCGGTCATAGCTGTGTGTAGCTGGTAGCAGGGTTCAGCGCCATTTCCTGTCCAGCCCTTTCCTGGCCCTGGCAAAGCAGAGAGTCAGAGCGGCTGCCAGGTCTGGATGAAAGGAAGCTGCTCCTGGATTGAACAGAGCATCAGAGGTGGAGGCTTTCACCAAGGGACCCCGTGCCCCTTGCCTGGCGTTCAGTTCTTTAAGTCCCATGGTCACTGAACCCACACTCCGTTCTCAAGGGAGGAGCTTCGTCTTTATGGGTAAAATGGAGTAGAGGCAGCGTCAGCTGGCCCCGTCTCTGAGTAATCTCTGGGGAGCCCTGGGGCGGGCCAAGCCACCAGTCACTGGCCAGATGGTTTGGAGAGAGAAGGCCCCCGGCTCCAGGCAGAGCGAAGCCACTTCAGAGCGTGGGCCCTGGGCTCCCACTTTGTCGCACGCGAAATGGGGACATACAGCTGGGCTGCTGGGGAGCGACCCAGAAGTCAGACCCAGCCACTCAGGGCCTGGGCTCTGCAGGGTTGGTAGTGGCACCTGGTACTGTTGCACCCAGGGACCCTTCCCCCTTTGCCCCGGGATCCTCAGGAGGCAGTCCCGCTTCTCTGCCCATGGAGTGACTCCAGCAGGAAGTCACCAGAGTCACCGGCTGAAGTCACTGTGGTGAGTGCAGGGGCACCTGGTAGGTTCCTCTGCCAACCCCTGCCTAGACGCGCGTCTGCCAGAGGCTTTTGGACCCTGCCACGTGCTCAGGATGTCTTCTGTCCATGCTGTCCTCCCGGCTACCCACCCCATGTGTCAGTTCTGCCATCCCTGCCATGCCTGCCATCCCTGGCAGAACTGACATACGGGGTGGGGAGCCGGGAGGACAGCATGTTACCCCATGTCAGGCTTGGTTGAGCCTCCCGAGGGCCCTGGAGGACGGGCCCTGGGGATCTCTGTCGGGAAGTGCTGCCCAGCCAGACAGACAGATGGACGGACAGAAGCAGGCACAGCGAGGAGCCAGCTGGAGGAGGGGTGGGGCGGGGACAGCGCCCTGAGGAGTATGGCAGGAGGACGGAGGGCGCTCCCTGCCTCCGTGTAAGACCTGAGGCTTCCAGCAAGGGACGCCCCAGGGAGAAGAGTCCCGGCCCCTCTCCAGCTGGCTTTGCCTGCTGCCTGGTGGGCTGGTGTTTTCTTTTTTTTTTTTTTTTTTTTTTTTTGAGACGGAGTTTCGCTCTTGTTACCCAGGCTGGAGTGCAATGGCGCGATCTCGGCTCACCGCAGCCTCCGCCTCCTGGGTTCAGGCAATTCTCCTGCCTCAGCCTCCTGAGTAGCTGGGATTACAGGCACGTGCCACCATGCCCAGCTAATTTTTTGTATTTTTAGTAGAGACGGGGTTTCACCGTGTTGACCAGGATGGTCTCGATCTCTTGACCTCGTGATCCACCCGCCTCGGCCTCCCAAAGTGCTGGGATTACAGGCTTGAGCCACTGCGCCCGGCCGGACTGGTTTTTTCTGACCACCCCCCGCAGCCAGCCCTTCATGGGGCCAGGCTCCAGCCTCCCTGCTCCTGCCTGGTGCCCACTGCAGTGTGGGGCCCCCATGAGGCGCTTGGTGGGCAGCTGTGGGGGGGGGAAGGCTAGAGAAGCTTCTCACCGTGCCACCCACTGCGTCAGGTGTGGCCAGAGTGGGGTGGAGGTGTCCCTGAGCCTTGGAGAACAACAGACGGTGTCTCTGGGCCAGGCCGTGCACCTTGGCACCCCAGGCTGTGTGTCCCCGTAAAATGGGTGGCTCCAAGTGCAACATGGAGGGGATTTTGTCATGACTGGGATCTGTAGGAAACTGGCCCAGAGGATGGGTCCCCAGGGCCACGAAAGGAGGCTGCCTAACAGCCCTGCCCAGCACAGAACAGGGAGCCTGGGGGAGCCGCACGAGAACCACACAGCCGGCATTTATGGGCTAGAGACCCCACAGACATGATCTTGATGGCTACAGAGACCGCCAGCAGGGAGATCCCTCATCCCCTTCGCAGACATAGACCCCGAGGCTCAGGGACGGTGCCTCCAGGATCTCCCAGGTCATACGTGGTCGTCCTGGGTCTGAGCCCAGCAGTCTGCCCCTCCACCATCTCCCCGGCCTCTATCCTTCTCAGGGGAAGGACCTTCCTCAGTTCAGGGTTCCCCCTGCTGGCCCCACTGCCCTTCCCAGCTTCCCACTCTCAGGGTCCCCCCACCCCACTGCCCTTCCCAGCTTCCCACTCTCAGGGTCCCCCCACCCCACTGCCCTTCCCAGCTTCCCACTCTCAGGGTCCCCCCACCCCACTGCCCTTCCCAGCTTCCCACTCTCAGGGTCCCCCCACCCCAATGCCCTTCCCAGCTTCCCACTCTCAGGGTCTCCGCTGCCTCTGCACAGGGCCCCCTCACCTCTCACCCTCCCCCGGTCCTCAGAATTCAAATATGACCCCCGGGTCCTCCAGCCTATGAATGCTGACCCTGCCTGTCACTGCCCCTGCCCTACATGTGAGCTCTGGGACCCCGCTCAGCCTGCAGCTCAGAAGAACCAGACTCGAAGAAGGGTCCACAGGAGGCCAGAGGAAAGAAAGGGCGTGTTGTCAGGAGGGCAAGCTCCAGGCTCAGCTAGAGGCACCCAGGGCAGAGGCTGGCAAAGAGGCCCGGGGGCACCTCCCAGGAGCAGTGCATCCTCCAGGCTTCAGCATACATCACCTGCTCTCTCCTGCCCTGGCGTTTTAAACGGGCACCCTCTGCTTTAACCTGTAAAGCCCCTTCTTGGCCCTGCGCTGACAGTACTGCCGGGGAGCCTCAGGGCTTCCTCTAACACCCTCGAAAAGACACGGTGATAAATGTAGGTGCATTAGCTGTGGCCACTGACAGCCTGCAGGGCGTGGACACTGCAGGATCCTTTTGGGAGGGCAGTGGTGTCCCAGGGGCTGGACCAGGGCAGGGCAGGGCAGGGGCACCCAGGTGGGAAGGTGCTCGGTGGGGCAGGGCTGGTGGGTGGGCCTGGCCCGGGTACTCACTGGCCCGTGTGATCACACAGTACTTGTCAGTCGGGGCACACTCCACCAGAGACTCGCAGTGCTCGTGGCCGCAGCACACGTGGCAGTGCAGGGCCTGGGCTGGGGGAGGAAGCACAGACCCGTCAGTCCGCGCCTGGGGCTGGGGCTGAGCACCAGGCTCCGGCCCACCCGGCTTTGCCCCTGAGCCTCCTCCGTCCTCCCTCCAGGGGAGCATCCGATCCCCTGGGATGGGCCAGAGGGCTAGGGACTTCGTGGTGGTGGCCATTTTCTCTGTCCTTTCTTGTCCTGCGTGTGCGAATGCCAGGCTGTCAGCGTGAGGGAGGGGTATGTGTGGGGCAGGTGTAGGCTGCCCCAGGTCTCGTGAAGGGTCTTCTCAGCCCCTTTCCTTCCCACGGCTTCCCTAGCACCTATAAACTCATGCACACATCTGCTTCCCTTCCCTCTGAAGCTGTCACTGGGAAGACGACCGGGATGCTGCAGAGTGTAGTGGAACCACATCAGCTAAACCAGGAGACAAGATGGATGGATGAAGGAGTGGGTGGATGGGTAGAAGTATGGATAGATAGATGGCTGGATAGAAGAGGGGATGGGTGGGGGAATTGTGGATGGGGGGATGAAAGGGTGGATGGGTGTATACATAGGTGTAGTAGATGGATTAATGGATGGATGGATGGATGGATAGGTAGATAGATGGATGGATGGATGGATGGATGGATGGATGAATAAATGAATGAATGGGTAGATGAATTGGTGGATGAGTCGATGGAAGGGTGGATAGATAAGTGGGTAGGCATATGGGTGGATGGATGGGTGGATGAATGAATGAAGAGATGGATGGGTGGATGAGTGGATGAAAGGGTGGATAGATGAGTGAATGGGTAAGTGGATAGGTGGATGGAAGGGTGGATGGATGGGTGAATGAGGGGGTGGGTGAATGGGTGGGTGAGTGGATAGGTGGATAGGTGAGTGGGTGGGTGGAATAATGTATAGTGGGTGAATGCATGGGTGGATAGATGGAAGGGTGAATGAGTGGGTGGGTGGAGGAAGGGTGGATGGATGGGTAGATGGGTGGATTTAAGGGTGGATGGATGGATGAAAGGATGGATGAATGGATGGATGGAAGGGTGGATGGATGGATGGAGTAGGTGGGTGGATAGGTGAATGGGTGGATGGGTGGGTGGATGGATGGATGGATGGATGGTTGGGTAGGTGGATGGATGGATGGATGGATGGGTGGATGGATGGATGGAGTAGGTGGGTGGATAGGTGAATGGGTGGATGGGTGGGTGGATGCATGGATGGATGGATGGATGGATGGGTAGGTGGATGGATGGATGGATGTATGGATGGATGGAGTAGGTGGGTGGATAGGTGAATGGGTGGATGGATGGATGGTTGGGTGGGTAGGTGGATGGATGGATGGATGGATGGGTGGATGGATGGATGGATGGAGTAGGTGGGTAGATAGGTGAATGGGTGGATGGATGGATGGATGGTTGGGTGGGTGGATGGATGGATGGTTGGGTAGGTGGGTGAATGGATGGATGGATGGATGGACATGGACGGATGGATGGAAGGGTGGATGGATGGATGGAGTAGGTAGGTGGATAGGTGAATGGATGGATGGATGGATGGATGGATGGATGGATGGATGGATCGATGGATCGATGGATGGTTGAGTGGGTGGGTAGATGGATGGTTGGGTAGGTGGGTGGGTGGATGCATGGATGGATGGATGGTTGAGTGGGTGGGTGGATGGGTGGATGGATGGATGGATGGATGGATGGATGGATGGATGGATGGATGGTTGGGCAGGTAGACGGATGGATGGATGGTTGAGTAAGTGGATGGATGAATGGATGGATGGATGGGTGGGTGGGTGGGTGGAAGGATGGATGGATGGATGGTTGAGTGGGTGGATGGATGGATGGATGGATGGTTGAGTGGGTGGATGGGTGGGTGGATGGATGGGTGGATGAATGAGTGAGTGGGTGGATGGGTGGGTGGATGGATGGGTGGATGGATGGTTGAGTGGGTGGATGGGTGGGTGGATGGATGGGTGGATGAATGAGTGAGTGGGTGGATGGGTGGGTGGATGGATGGGTGGATGGATGGGTGGATGGGTGAGTGGGTGGGTGGATGGATGGATGGATGGATGGACGTTTGAGTGGGTGGATGGATGGGTGAGTGGGTGGATGGAAGGATGCATGAGTAGAGTGGCAAATGGTTAACAGAAGAAAGGACGAGGTAGCATGATGCATACAAGGAGGGGTGACTTCAGAGATGACCTGTTATACTTCTTACTGTCCCCATCTTCTGTCTGAATCAGTGTCCTCACCTACCAGATGGGAGTAATAACAGCCCATGCTACGGCCTTTGTGGAGGATAAATGGTGAAATGCACAAAACATTGCCCCTGCCTCACCCTTCTTTACTGGGGTGAAGGACTGCAGGAAGCTCCAGGCAGGGAAGCCAGAGGCAGCTGGGTTGCCTTCCCCAGGGCAGGTGTGGCTCTGAGAACTTCACATACAGCAGGTGCGTGAGGGCTGATGAGACGGCTATCGGCCTGAAGCCTGCTGGCGATGCCCACACCCGGCCGTGTGGGGGTCTGCAGCCAGACCCTGGGCCAGGCTGCAAGTGGGAGGAATGTGGGCAGGCTGTATTCCTGGCTGGCATCTGTGTGCTGTGTGGTTGCCCCCAGCTTCCAACAACATTGAGGACTGGGTCCAAGGGCTCCATGGGCAGGGCTGACAGATGTACCGTCATGTCACATGACCCTGAGTGGAAGAAGGGCAAGGTACAACGGATGCCCTGGGGAGACACCTGGCCAGGAGGGAACACAGTTTTGATAGAGGGCAGGGAGATCTGGGAAGGCTTCCTGGAGTGGGTGGCCCCATAGGTACACGGATGGATGGATTTCTATTTGTCTTCTGAGGAGAGACATTTGAGAAGAAGGTGCAGCAGGAAAGAGGAAAAGCCAGATTGTTCAGGGTGTGAGGCCCCAGGAGCTGCGACAGGGGGTGACAGTGGGTGGAGAAGCCAGAAATACCACATCCTGGTGTGGAGGCTGTGCTGCCCCGAAAGGCATATTTGAGCCTTTTGTGCTAGGACTTGGGGGTGGAGGCAGGGAGAAAGGTGCCCTGTAGGGAGTGTCCTGTAGGTGAGTCTTGTAGGGGTGTCCTGTAGGGGTGTCCTGTAGGGAGTGTCCTTTAGGGGTGTCCTGTAGGGAATGTCCTATAGATGTGTCCTTTAGCGGGTGTTCTCTAGGGGTGTCTTTTAGAGATGTTCTGTAGGGGTGTCTTTTGGGGTGTTCTGTAGGGGTGTCTTTTGGGGTGTTCTGTAGGGGTGTCTTTTGGGGTGTTCTGTAGGGGTGTCTTTTGGGGTGTTCTGTAAGGGTTTTCTGTAGGGGGTGCCCTGTAGGCTTCCTGTAGGAGATCCTGATGGGGACATCCTGTAGCAGTTCCCTGGACAAAGCACACCTGCTCTGACCTCAGAGCGGCTGCCTGCTGAGTGGGGTCTTGGCATCTTCCACACACACAGCTGATACCCGTGTGCTCGGGGTCTGACCCTGACCATTCTTGCTCCCCCTGCCTGCAGCTGGGTTCCTGGTGCCAGCGGGGCTGGGAAAGACTCCTGGGTTCCTCTGAACAAGGACTTTACATGACCGCCACTTCTCTGCAGGAACCTTAGTCCCCACACCCTTGGGCTGTGATGGGAAGCAAGGGGTCTCCTCGTTCAATCCTGGGAGCAGTGACCAGCTCCCAGCAGGTGCTGTCTGAGCAACATCATCATATGGGCCAACCTCCCAGAAAAGCTGAGCCCCCGAGAACACAGGTGTCCCAGGCCGGTGTCCCCACGTCCTAACTCAGCACCCCTGGCCCCTTCTCTCCAAGGCTGTGCCCTGACATAGGGGCGGAAGGTGTCTGAGCAGGGCACTCAAGCCTGACTCCTGCCCATTCCTGATGCCCCACCATCTGTCTTTCCAGCCTTCCCACTGCGGGTCCCTCCTCAAGCGGGGGCTGTTCCCCAAAGTGCCCCCTCTTCCTTCCACCCTCCCCCCCACGCTCAGGGGAAGCGGATGGGGCTAATTATCCCTAGATGATAATTATTCATCCGATAATCACACGCTTTGTCACCTCCCACCCACACCCCAACTCCTCCTGGCCCCATTTCAGGCCCTAAAGCCAGGTCATCAAGGTCAGGGTAGAGTGGGGCTAGAAGCGGGGTGATGAACTAGCCCTGATTTTCCTAGGACTTGCCTTTTGGAGCACTGAGAATCCAACGTCCCAAGAATTCCCCTCTGTCTCGGGAAGAGGGGGCAGTCAGTCACCCCGGCTGGAACCCAGGACCAGCACCCAGGCTTTCCCCACAGAACGACACCAGAAGCTGTGGCCATAAGAAGAGGCCTCCAAGCCTGGCAGGGAGGCACCATGAAGGGTTCCCCCCAACTCCTTGCAACCCCTAGTCCAGGCTGGTGATCCTGGGTTGAGCTTGCCTGCCAACACCCGGCCCCTGGGTACCCAGCCCAGGAGTCACCTCTCCCCATCCCTCCCATGGTGTGGCCTGCGTCTTACCCAGGGCAGCACACAGGGCAGCCAGAAGCAGCAGTGCCAGGAGGAGCCTCATCGTAGGGTTTTCCGCCAGGGACTGGGAGCCACCGTGCCAGGGCGCCTTTATATGGTGGCTGAGGTCTGAGCCAGACCTGGTAATTTAGCTGGAAGGTGCACTGGGGAGAGCAGGCCAGCCTGACTCATGCCCCTGGGCCTCCCGCTGCCCCACCTCCAGGACTCTCGGAAGGTACCTGTGCCCCCCTCTCTGCTGTCCCTGGGTCCTGAGCCTCTGGCCCCTACTCCCTGAACTTAGGAGTTCTCAGAGGGCCATGGCTCTGCCTCTGCAGCCTGGGGGGATAGGCAGGGCACTTCTGACTATGCAAAGCCCCCTCCCCACAGCCTGGGGGGACAGGCAGGGTGCTTCTCACTATGTGTACCTCCCTCCCCCCAGCCTGGGGGGCTGTGCAGAGGGCTTGAGTATGTACAGCCCCTGCCCCACAGCAGGTGGGGGGGGCTGCGCAGAGCGCTTCTGAGTATGTGTGCCCCCTCCCCACTGTGCTTGCCCTTGCACCAGGGTCGGCAGGGCCACCAACCTCATTCTGATGGGGAAACCGAGGCACTGGAGCCTGGAAGCTGCTTCATCTTTACTGTGCACACGAGTCACCTAGGGTCCGGTGGAAATGCTGGCTGTGGACGCCTGGGCAGGGCCTGGAACCATGCATTCCTGGCAAGCTCCTGGGGGTGGGGTTGTCTGTCTAGGGTAGGCTTAGCTTGGGCCAGTGGCAGAGCCAGGGTGTGCAGGGCAGCCCGACCACATCTGAGTCACTGCCCAGGCCTGGGGGACTGTGGGGTGACAGGGATGTCCTGGGGGGGCAGGACACGGTCTGTTTGCAGTGGGGTTGTCTCCATTGCTATCCTCGGGGTGTCGCAGGGATTCTGGAGGCCGCGGGGCCGCAGCTCACATCTCCTGGGAGTCTCCTCCAACCCTCGACGGTTCCCTGCCTCAGGATGGCTCCCCTCTCCCCTTCCTCACCCTGTCTGTCCACCCCACGGGGACTGGCTCCAGTCCCCTCCACCCTTGCATGGTCACTTACACTCGCCTTCAGGCCTTTCCCAGGCCTGACACGTGTCTCCCCCACCGCCCGCTCAGCAAGATCACCCTTGTCTGGAGCGCTCTTGGACCCCCTGTCTGGGCCTGTGCCCTAGAGGTGCCCTTGAGGGCCAGAGTCGCGTTCCAGACCTCTCCACAGACCTGGGAGCCCAAGATGCCTCTTCTCCATCCACCCTCGGAAGGCAGGCCAAGCTGCTGGGTACCCACCCCAAGGCTGGAAGGTGGGACTGGATCTATGCGGGGCCATGCAGGATTTGGGGGGCAGGCAAGCTCCAGGGCTGGGACTGGCTCTCCGTGCAACCATCTCCCAGCTCAAAGACCAAGGAGTTTGGAACTGGAATGAATACCAGATGTTCCCTGTGGCATGGATGACATACTTGTCAACAGCATTTTCGTTTACCTGTTTTTAGCTTCTTTGAAAACGTTCGTATTTGGGGACACATGGCATGTGGGCCCCATTGCCTTGGCCTCCAGTGAAAAGGAAGGGCCTGCTCCGTTCACTCCAGGTCACCTCGGGGCTTCGCAGCTGCCTGACTACGGATCACAGCAGTGTGAGCGCTGCAAAGCTGCCTGGGGACAGCTGGACTCTGGGGCAGGTGCCATCACAGACACAGCCCCAGTCCTCAGCCCAGGCCTTGGCGTGAGGAACTGAGACCCCTGCTGTGATGGGACGGCTGGGCATTGCAGGTCCTGGTACAGCCTCTGCGGGAAGGGGCAGGGGCTCCAGGCACAGCTGCCAGGAGGTCCCGGGTGGGTACCTGGAAGCAGGGCCCATCTCCAGCTTCCCAGCAGGGCCCCGCCCCAGGAAAAAGGCATGGTGAGCTGCCAGTTCCACTATGGATGGCATGGACTGTGATGCGCCCTTCCCAGTGCCACAGGGCTCTGACCTGTGAGAGGGAAGAAGGGGCAGGGTGGTCGCAGCAGTGGGGGGCTGGGAAGAGCCCTACTCCTGTCCTGAGGAGTGACGAGTCTGCACAAGGCTGGGCCCCTTCTCGCTGCAGGGGCAGGACAAGGGCTGGGCGAATGGGTGCATGTGAGTGTGACTGTGACTGTGACTGTGAGAATGTGACAGTGTGATTGTGTGTCTGTGTGTGAATGTTACTGTGTGTGAGAATGTGTGTGTGTGTGTGTGAGACTGAGTGTGAGACTGTGAGTGACTGTGTGACTGTGAGACTAGGTGACTGTGAGACTGAGTGACAGTGTGTGACTGTGTGACTGTGAGTGCGAATGTGACTGTGAGAATGTGACAGTGTGATTGTGCGTGACTGTGACTGTGTGTGAGAATGTGTGTGTGTGACAGAGTGTGTGACTGTGAGACTGGGTGACTGTGAGACTGACAGTGTGTGACTGTGTGACTGTGACAGTGTGTGACTGTGTGACTGTGTGAATGTGACTGTGTGTGAGAATGTGTGTGTGTGAGACTGAGAGTGAGACTGTGACCATGTGACTGTGAGAGTGTGTGACTGTGAGACTGGGTGACTGTGAGACTGTGAGTGACAATGTGTGACTGTGACTGTGACAGTGTGTGTGTGACTGTGAGAGTATGAATGTGACTGTGAGAATGTGTGTGTGTGTGAGACTGAGAGTGTGAGACTGTGAGTGACTGTGTGACTGTGACAGTGTGTGACTGTGTGACTGTGTGAATGTGACTGTGTGTGAGAATGTGAGTGTGTGTGAGACTGAGAGTGAGACTGTGACCATGTGACTGTGAGAGTGTGTGACTGTGAGACTGGGTGACTGTGAGACTGTGAGTGACAATGTGTGACTGTGACTGTGACAGTGTGTGTGTGACTGTGAGAATGTGTGTGTGTGTGAGACTGAGAGTGTGAGACTGTGAGTGACTGTGTGACTGTGAGAGTGTGAGTGTAACTGTGAGACTGGGTGACTCGGAGACTGTGAGTGACAGTGTGTGACTGTGTGGACTGTGACTGTGTGTGAGACTGTGACTGTGTGACTGTGTGAGACTGTGACAGTGTGTGTGACTGACAGTGACTGTGTGACTGTGCCTGTGTGTGACTCAGTGTGACTGTGTGTGACTGTGTGTGACTATGTGTGTGACTGACAGTGACTGTGTGACTGTGACAGTGACAGTGTGTGTGACTGTGTGTGACTGAGAGTGACTGACAGTGTGTGTGTGACTGTGACAGTGTATGTGAGAATGTGTGACTGTTAGTATAGTGTGAATGAGTGTGCATGCATGTGTATGTATGTGAGTGAATGTGTGTGAGACTGAATGTAAGACTGAATGCGTGAATGTGTGATGCTATGTGTGTTAGTGTGTGTGAATTGTGTGTGTAAATGACTGAGTGTATGAAGGTGTGTGTGTGAATGTTATTAGTGTGTATGTGTCAGCATGCAAGTGTGAGTGCATGTGTATCATGGGTATGAGTGTGTGAAAGTGAGCATGTGTGTGTGTATGCGACAGTGAGTGTGTGAGTGTATGTATGAGTCTGTGTGTGTGGTGGGACCCACCTGAACAGAAATAATCACAGCCAGACGATCCCAATGGGGTCACAGTTTGCTTCCTGGGGAAGGCCCAGGTGGGCTGGGCTGCATTTCTGAGGACAAGCGTGGAGGGGCAAGATCCTGAGTACAGGGCTCGTGTGTGTAGACGGCACACCAGGGCGCAGTGAATCCCAGAGACTCGGTCCGGCGTCAGCTGGATTTTACCCTGCGCACACCACAGCTCTCAAGCTGTCGTCTATGTTCTTGGGGGTCTGTGAAAGCTGTTTTTCCTTCTGCAGAAGGATCTGAGAAATGCTAAACGCAATGGTTTCTCAAAGGACCTTTTAGGAGCAAAGATTCTGCAGCCCCCACAGGGTGGGCTGTGGGATAGGGGCTGTCCTGGGCTCTCAGGGGAGGCTGAGGGAAGAGCCGAGGGCAGGGGCTGCCCTGGGATGGGCTAGAGGTGGGCGTTGGCAGGCAGCCTGGCCCCCCACTGCCAGCTGCCCTGGTTTCCTCTGCCTCAGGGAGGGCTTGGGTCACTCCTCTTTAAGCGAATCAGGCTTTTTACAAGCTGAGCCTGAGTATTTTACAAGCTGAATGTTCTCCAAATACAGCCCAGAATTTCTCTCAAGGCCATAATTAGTGGGGCCTCCCCAGCCTGGCATTAGACTCCACTCCCTAGGGTGGCTGAGGGGGGGTGCAGGGATGAGCCGGGCAGGGGAAGGAACGGGGCACGGGTGAGGTCCTGCGGGAGCGACATCCAGCAAGGGCCCTGCCAGCCCAGAGGAGCTCCAGCCAACTCCAGGAAGGGGCCTGGGACCCGGGCAGGAGCCCCAGACCTGAGTGAACCAGTGGGTGAGTCCTGCTCCCTCCCTCTGAAAGCCCTTCCCCCCTCCAGCCCTCCTCCGCCCCTCCCTCTATCCCACCGCGCTCTCCACGCCCCCCCCTTCCCTGCCTCCACCCATCCGTTTCCCTCCCTCTTTCTTTCCCTCCCTTTGCCCCTCCTTCCACCCTTCCCTTTCTCTGGGCCTCGTCTCTCTCTAGCCAGTGCTGGGGGCAGGGCTGGAGGGGCATCAGAGCCAGGCCCTAGAATTGCAGTGGGCGCATGCCAGCCACACTGAGTCTCTAGAGAGTCTCAGGACCTTGTTCTCTGTGTGCCCAGCCGGGTAGCTGGAAACCTGCATTCACCTCACTGCAGCCTTTAGCCAGTGGGCAGAGGGCGTCCCTGTGCTGGCCTCACAGTGAGGAGGCACTTCACAGGGCCACTGCTCCTCCACCTGATGCCTGCTGAGCCCCACAGTGCCCCCTTGAGACTGCTCAGGGCCCCTCACGCCTACTGGGGACCCCTAGCCCCACATAGAGGAGGATCCTGGGAGTGTAGCCAGTGCCACCTCCCCGCCCAATTCACACAGGGGAAACTGAGTCCAAGTTCGGGTGGAGGAGTCATGATTTCGATCAAGGCCCCTCGGCTGGCTGGGAAAGGAGGCCCAGCCAAGGTCGCTTGGCCCCGACCCTGGACACACGCTT